TTTATCACATAAAAGTTTAATCTTGTTGATAAAAATTGAGAATTCTGACCAGAATCAGATTAATTTAGTCTCCGATTAACGAAAAGCAAATTATGTTAGCGAGCACGCAAACAATACAAAAGCAAATCAAAGGATTCTATTGTTGGTGATAGTACGATACATTGATAAGGTAAAGCTTTTGACTTCATCATTGCCACAGCAAAGTTAGATATGTTTAGAAAAGTACTAGAATATCCAAATAGTACCATGTAGGGTCGTCATCTCTATCAACAATTATAAGTTTTGCTTGAATATAATAGTGTATTTATAATGCGTTTTTAATGCTGAATGTGAAAAGAAATTATTACAGAAACTGAACGAAAAACTAATGTAGAAAATTTCACATAAATTGAAAGAACAAGAGTTTCTTGCACAAACTGACTTTCTTTCGTTTTCTAGACTTTTTCGATTTGCAAAAAGCTAATTATGAAAGCTAAAAAAACAGTTTTTGAATTAATAACTCAGGTTTGATGGAATAGTGTATAAATAAGCACCCATAATAAATTTTATTCGAATTTCGTGTTGTACGTACCTTATCATAAGAGAGTGGCAAAGAAGAAACCGAGGTACTATGGAAACCTTAAATTTTTCATTTATTTTATGCAGACTCAAGAGAGCATCATCTACAATAGTCGAATTCAAATTATTAGTTTCTCTAGAACTGTTATGGAATAGGTAGCCTATGCCGACTTTTTATCGTTACCCATCTACTCAAATAGTGTCCGATGATAACTGACGATAATTTGTCATTGAAATTTTTCGTACTTTTCTTTACGTAGAAGGCTATAATGTTTATAACATATATATCTAATCAAGGTCTTGAGTCTTTCAAAGTTTCAGCTCTTTACCTAAAATTAATGTTGAATTACATGAACTTTCGTATTGATTTTCCTCACATCTCTATTTCTTGACTAGTGATATTTATAGGTTCCTAACGGAACGAAACTCTACGACACAATGTTTTTCAAAAGTGTAAATTATAACAAAACTCAATGTGTATGAGCATCTTCTCCGTTGTTTTGTAGGACCAGCTGTTATTGCTCTGGCATTTGTCCAGCATTTTATTAATGTTGTATTGTCGAAAAATTTCTTTGATTCTTTTGTAATTGCTTTTGTTAACTGTAGAGATGTGTCAAGTACACTATGCAAACGTTTTCTTTCATTACACGCGTCCCGTTTTCTATTCTTTCTATACATCATCAAATTGAGCATCGCTTCGTGCTGGCATTGTATGTTTCTGACATAATTGTGCTATGAACCAGGTAATCAATACATCATATTGTCTGTTACATTCTAAATTCAACACAATACATTTAAAAAATTTTCTATTTTCGTCATTGATGGACATGTAAGATGAAACCTGCATTTAAACCTAAAAGGCTCTAGATATAAATGGGTTCGTGCATAGTTAAAATAGTTCTTAGTTATTCTATCATGATTTGATTATATATTGAAAAAATTACAAAACTTATGTACAAATATTCATGTATTTGAATCTTGTGGACGTATTTCAGCATTAATTTTAGTTAGAGGGTTGAAACTTTGAAAGAGTAAAGATCTTGATTAGATATATATGTTATAAGGATTATGGTCTCCTACGTAAAGAAAAGTATAAAAATATTTTATTGACAATTTATCGTCAATTATTGTAAAACATCCCTTTATACAGCACCCATAAGTAGATGACATAGGATATTTTTAAAGATCATATTTGTTTTCAGCTGCTGACGTTCTATTTTTCAGTATATTTCACGAAAAAAACTTGTGATCTGTTGAAGTGTAATCTCAGTAGACATCCATAGGACGACTGTCAATTGTTTCTTCATGATAGGTGGGTAAGTAATGGTGAATAGTTAGTAAATACTACCGATTCTATAGAACTTTGAAATGAGCTAAAAGCTTTGGTTGGACGATTTTAGATGATGTTCTCTTCAAGACGTATAAAAAATGAAAAATGAAATTTTCTACTACTGCTTGACAGATTACAATGAACACTGGTGTTCTTAAGGAATGTTTCATAATTGTATGAAGAAAAATTCACATTACTATATTTATTTTCTTTTTACTTTCCATTTGCTCTTGTATTCAGTGCATTATAATCATACTGACAATGTGTAAACTGTATTTAACATAAATAAAAAGTTTTATTTTATCGTGTTATAAGAGAGAAATTATGCTGGTTGATGCTAATGTCTTTTTTTTTAACTAAATAGTCTGTATCGATTGATCATGAAGTAATAATGTAAACACATATCTCTTCATTAGCTATTTCTTTAGTTTCATTGCATGTTTAGATGTTTATTTAAATGCCTCTCACTATTGTTCTGGCTCGCCGTTTCTTCGAAAGTTTAAGCCGATTACATTATCCTTAAAAGCAAATAAGTTACAACTCAAAAAGCCGATCAAAACAAATTATCAAAACTTCTAAAATAATACTGTACATATTCTATCTTGCAAGTTCAAATTTCAATAGTCAATATATATATAAAATCAATAATATGAAATGCTAAAACAGTTCAGATGGTTTGAACTTTTTCCAATGAATAAGATGTCTTTTGTGCACTTTATCGTCATCTCGATGCAAGAAGTGTAAGCTGTTGATCTCAGAAAAGAAAAAAAATCTGTCAGATATCAGGAGCTAAAGAATATATTGTCTTGTGGAATAATCTCATGATGTAAGAAACATATGAAACAAGGTTATTAATGGGAGGAAGCACTTCTTATCCTACTCTAATCTATGAGAGAAGTAGATCTTGAAATATCCCATTTGATAGGATGAGATCGGATAAAATTCTCGTTCCATAGTACTTCCTTTTTTTACTCATGGAAAATTTCCGAATCTGTCTGACGAATGATGGATTTAAACTATCCTGTAGGTGTATTTGCTCATAGAATTTCTTATCCCCTTATAATTACTCTCTTTTATCAATAGAGATAGTTTTATTTCTTACTTTTTCCTTTGTAAATTTTTAATTTAAAAGCTTTTATTATTTTTATAGAAGTTTAACAAATGGAAAAATAGCATGAATTTTACGGAATTCTGTATGCTTCAACCTCATATAAATTTTTCAATATTCTTCTCGGCATAACTCTTCATTGTTGAGATAAAACACCATGGCTATGAAGAATCATTATTATCTACACTTCAAATTAATTTCCAACATAATTTTTTTCAAGTTTTGATTCCAAGAAAACGAATCGGTTGATAAAAATTTCTCATGTATTCTACAGATTCATAACAAGCACAGACTAGATCTGAACCCAATAATATCTGAAGAAATCCATTGAATTGCATCAAAGTGTAAAAAGATCTTTAGCAATCTTCAATGATCTAAAAAAAATAAGTAAACTTATCAGAAGCTAAGAAGACATGGATGGAAAATGCACTGAAGAAGTTATATTAGTACTTTTTAATATTTAGAAGCATGATGTTGAAACTTTATAGAAAACATAGCAGATCTTAAATCCTGAGAAAATCGAATTAATCCAAATGGATCTCATGCAGTGACGATGGAATTCATCATAGTATTCGTTGAAGTTCAACAAGAACTCAACAACTTAAAGACAAATTTGTTTTTGAAGAAATCATTATGATTTTGATGGATAGTAAAAAATTAATATGTGAAGTTAATGAACGTAAACGAAAGCATATAGAGGAGTGCACGAACGATAGAAAAAGAATATCATGGAAGTCAATTAGAGGCTTAAAAAAATCTTCATTCTAGACGCATTATCCATTGAAACCTACAGCATTGGATGAAACAAAGCAACTTCTCGCATGGGATGTTTTTTCTGTGCCATCCAGTCCTATTCGAAACCTTAATATGAATTGAACTCCCTTTGATTTTTTTGATCAATTTTCAAGTCCATCTCTGCATATTTCAGAAACCCAACAACAAATATTTATATTCTTTTTTTAAGACTAAACACAATACATAAAAATTAAATCTTATTATGAATATCATCAAATGTTTAGCAAATAATTAACAAAATAACTCGATATTATTGTCAATTTTAATTCAAATGTCACGTAAAATATTTCACGAGTTCCACTGGAAAAATATAGTCGTGATTATTGATAAAAACTTATTTTCAATATTGATGTTCTATGTCAATAAGTAAACAATGATAATCGAAATATTAGTCGACTGTATTGTATTGAGATCTACTCATCATCTTGTTGGTGTCGAAAATCATCGATTTCTTAAATATCAATAAAAACAATACGATTATTTCAAGGCATGTCATGATTTACGATGACAACAGTGCTAAAAAATTTATCAAATGATTTTATGCTTCTATGACCTTGGTCAAAAGAACGACAAATACGAACTGCACGATTACTTTTTTTTTCTTACCTGTACGTTTCGATTAAATGATACAAAGATTAGAATAAAGCTCAATACACTTATTTATATCGGTTACATCATGATGTTCAAAT